GGGCTCCTTCTTTCAGGGATCCTAGCATTGAAGGTCTCACATTCCAGAGCTTCTACTCAAAGTTCAGAAGTTTTCAGGAACAGGGGCGTTCGCAGACTTAAGGCCCCTTGAAGAGATATGGGTAGTTCTCTAAACTAGGGTCCCGTTTACGGTCCTTTCTTTCAGGGGGCCGTCTTATTTCGGTGACCTTAAACAGGGACCCTAAATTAGAGAACCACCCAGATGCTTGATGTCGAGAGAACCACAAATTCCATTGCTCTATACAAACCCTTCAACCCAGTCGCCAAGTCCTAAATCGAAAACCGTGAGGTATCGGGTTTGGGGCTCAGGGTCTAAAGCCCTGTATCTTAAGCCTTAACTCCCTCAGCCCCAAGCCCCAAGCCCTTTCTGTGCACCGCAGCACCAGGCCCCAGCTTAAACAACAAAAACGATTTTAGGGGGTTCAACTAGAGTCGTCGTGCCGTGCTAGAGGCGCCGAGCAGATTGAGACGCTCCAGAACCAGATGAAGCAAAACCACACGGAGGCATCGCCGAAGTCTAAACCCAGCCTTCGATGGCTCGCAAGTTGGGCTTATGGGTCTAGGCTTGACGGTTTCGAGTGTGGAGTTTACGGGTTAATTAGGCTTGGGGGTATAGACATTCCAGTTACTTTGGTGGCCGTTTTGTTGCGCTTAGAACTCCTTCAAAACAGCTGCCAATCCTTCCGACACCGTTTGAGATCCTGGGGCCTTAGGTGTCGCTTCAGACGGATTGACTGCTGCTGCTACTACTACTCCTCCTACTACTACTACTACTACTACTACTACTACTACGACGAATACTACCACTACCACCAGTGGTAGTAGTAGTAGTAGTAGTAGTAGCAGCAGCAGCAGCAGGAGTAGTAGTAGTAGTAGTAGTAGTAGCAGCAGCAGCAGCAGCAGTAGTTGTTGTAGTCGAACAACTACTATTGGCACTCTACTCATATACTGCCCCTCCTGCTCCTGCTGATTCTGGTCTTGTGGCTGCTGCTACTGCTGCTGGTGCGTCTGCTGCCGCAGCTGTTCATTGTAGCTGTTTGTCATGGTATACAGTATACATAACGTCTGCGCTTAAGGCCGCGGCGACAACAATGATCGAGACTGTCCTTTTCAGAACCGCAGTGTTGTCAGTCAGCGCATGCATCGTCACACAACAGCAGCACTACCAACGACGCATGCCAGCACCAAACTAAGACTCCTTCAGTTAAAACCAAACTGAACATGCCGAACCATGCGGCGCCGACACCCGCACCCACACCTCTAAACTACGGTTTCCTAGGCCACGCATTCGGAATCCCACAGCTGGAACAGAGGTGCTGGCGCGCTTTGACAAGCAGGACGACATGCTTCAAAAGGTACTCCAGACCGCTCACACGCACGCCATGCCTGAGGTGGCTGGGTTAATACAGGGGCTTGAATAAATTGCCTATACTATTTTGGGGGTTCCTTGTCATACTTTTTGGTATAATATACCCTCAAACCCTACTCTAATCATTAAAGCCCTTTTATTATGCAGACCGAGGGTTTACGTACAGTTTTGCTGGCATTGGATTTAAGTTGATCCCGGAGGAAACGTATTCGGATCTTGGGGGAAAGGCGGGGTCCCAGACTCTCCTTAAACCCTAATCCCCGAATTCGAAACCCTAAACCCTAAATACTAAGCCTTGGACCCTAACCCCTAAACCACCCTTAAGCTTCCGGAAATCACAATCTTGTTCTCGGTCTTGAGGGTTTATAGATGTTTATAGCAAAAGGCTCATGTCAAGGCCCGATGCCCGAAGCCCTAAAAGGTTTCGGGGTTTTGGGTTTAGGTTTCAACTTTATTTCCGGTCGAGATCTGACAAGGCCGTTGCAAAAGGTTTCAACTTTATTTGATTCCTAGGATGAATCTAGACAGTCCTCCTTGAGGCTTCATTCTGTCTAGGTCTTGTTTCTCGTGTTCCTAGCCCCTAGACTTAAGCCTCAACAAACGTAACAGGGATTTACCGTTTAGGTTTGCCCTCTCAAAGCTGTGCTGTTTGCGGTTGTGCATCTTGTTTCTGTCCTGGTTGAGTTGCAGACCAGATGCCAAACGGTTTCGCCCCTCCTTGAAAGCGTCAAGGCGCTATGCATCCAAGTTAAGGCCCCCCGCCGAACTGAACCCCCAAACCCCCGGGCCCCGGACCCTAAGGCAGCAGTGAAGGGACTGGCATCTCTAGGCTTCTTTCCAGCTGCCCATAGTGGTGGTGGCCGACTAGATTCATACTGTAGGGATTTATGGTCTAATTGCTACGCTTTTTTGTTTTTATTACAAAAATTGTTGCGGTTTGGAGTTTAGGGTATGAGGGCTTAGCATGGAAGGGTAGTATCAGTGTTCCGGGTCTCAGTAGACCACCACCTACCCTTTGCAAGAGAAGTGTATATGAACCAACCTCAGCTGCAATTCCTTTGCACACAAACCTGCGTCAAGAGGTCGCACGCATCAGCGAGCGCATCTCACGCATCTTCACCGTGTTCAGGGTTTAATAGAGGGGCCTTAATAATTAGAATAGGGTTTTGGAGTGTGTTATACTATAAATATAATAAGCAACCCCCCACAATAGTATACGTAATTATTCCGGCCCCTACATTAGGGCCACCAAGCTAGAGCGTGGGGCTTGAGCTGAGCTTAACGAAGTGCAGTTGCGGCCTTTGTGAGCCTGTAGGCCTGACGATGGATCAGTGTTAGGGCGGCTTTTTTTGTAGGGGCCTATACATAATTACCAACACTATTTTGGTGGTCCCCATTTTATTTATTGTATAATATTCCCAAAAAACTCACTCTGATTATAAGGCCCCTATATTACTGGGTCTACAGTCCGCCGCATGATTTTTATCTTTTGGCTTTGCACGCGCTTGGTGCTCGTTCTCTTGAGGTTTACCTTCGGATTCGAGGGACAGGAAAAACCAGGCATGTAGACTTTCAGATTAGGGATCAAGCCTTTTACAAAGCCGGTCAAGCTCTCAGCCGTGCGCTCAAAACACATGTTATGGACGCTAGCCGATGTGGAGGGATTCGTAAGTTATGTATATGGTCATGCAGTTGTGAGATCCTCATCACCATACATGTTCCCTGTGTCATGGATCCCGCAAATCCTGTTGTAAGCCCCACCGAAAACCTACACAACTGCATAAATAAAGCTCCGAGAAAGACCCTTTAAACAATGACCGCGCTGTGATTATTGCTGTTCCTTATAGACCCGAGCCCATGTTTCCGAAAAGGTGGAAGAGCCTCCTCAAACCCCAAAACCCAAAACCCCTTCGATGGAACCTCGCCTGGCGTGTCCGAGTTGTGTGAGCGCAAGAATCCTAACCCTGAGCCCTATAAACCCGAACCCTAAACCCCACTTTTTTGTAGGTTCTTGTTATAAGCCCTAATATGGGATTTATAGGGACCCTACAAAAAAGTAGGGTTTTGGGTTCTGAAGGTCTAAACCAGAGCCCTAAACCTTGAAGTCTTGTGTTGGGTTTGCGGGAGTGTCGTCGCTCGGTTGCTGCTTGATCAATCTTGGATTGTGTGGAGCCTCGCCTGCCTTGCACGAGTGTGAGTCCTAAAGCCCTAAACCCTAAACCTGAACTCTAAACCATATCCTAAACCCTAAACCGGGAACCCTAAACCTTTTAAGTCCATATTCCTGGCTCCGGCTTTGGCCTGTGCAAGTTGGTTCCCAGACTCTAGAGTCGAGATAATTATGGTCGAGGGCTTGGGGTTTAGGGTTTGGTATAGTTAGGGTTTATAGGGTCTAGGGTCTAGTGTAATTAGGGTTTAGGGTTTAGGGTTTAGTGTAGTTAGGGTTTAGGGTTTAGGGTTTAGTGTAATTAGGGTTTTGGTTTTGAGGTGTAGGGGTTTAGGGTTTATTAGGGTCTAGGGTTTAGTGTAGTTAGGGTTTAGGGTTTAGGGTTTAGTGTAATTCGGGTGTTGGTTTTAGGGTTTAGGGGTTTAGGGTTTAGGGTCTAGGGTTTAGTGTAATTAGGGTTTAGTATAATTAAGGTTTAGGTCCACGGCCTTCATCTTAAGTTCTCTGTGCTCAGTAGTTGAAGCCCTTCATGTTTTTCCCCTAGGCCCATAGATAGTTCTCTAAGTTGGGGCCCCTTGTTGGGTCTCAAACATAGTCTGGCACCCTTATATAATGGGACCGTAACAGGGACCCTAATTGAGAGAACTGCCCAGTTGCAGCCAAGGCACTTCGAATGACCTCTCGAATCACGTGAAATTTGCTCCCCCGAAGCCACGCAAGAGAAGTGCTGCTGGGCGTGGTTTTTGGGCACAGGGCTTTGGATTTAGCAACAAACCCCGAATTCGAGGATAAAGGACCCAAGCAAAAATTGACGCCGAGAGTAGACCCGACACCCAAACGCAAGACTTAGGCAAGCAAACTTATCCAGTGACCCACGATCCTAAGCCTCCACCCCAAACCCTACAGTAGCCAAGATGGGCACACCTAGTCAGCTCTCAGGCACTTGTCGACTCAGAGCCAACATTTTCTAGGGTATACGGATCCTGCAACTCCCGCCATCATTCAGCATGGCAGTCAACTTGAAAGGTCCCACAGAACAGAATAGCCCACTGCTCCCAGGAGGATTGAGCTAGTCTGCAATGTGTGCCTGCATCATTGACCACATACTCACTCGCAGCACCCTAATTCAGAATTCAGAGTTCCCATGTCTACTGCATCTGGTTTGTCCTAGCTAGGTGGGAGGCAAAAAATCGTAAACTCTTGGTGTCCCGGCAGGATTTTGCCCGACTGTTCAGGTCTGAGAGTTCTTGCGCTCAAAAGAAGATGAGGGGCCCCACCATGTAGGACTCGGGAAAAGGAAGTCCAACATTTCGGAAACCCCGCGCGGGGGTTCGAAAGCCAACAGGATTTTCGGCTCAGTGCGTGGAACCCTCAGCCCTCAACCTCCCTCCGGGGGTTTCAATTTCAACCCTACGGGGCATTCCGTCTAGAGCCCTGCACTGAGGGATTCACGCCGAAGCTGTTCAGCGCCTCGCCTGTCAGCTGAGGGTTGAGGGCCTAGGGTTTATTCACGGTCTGGGCTTTGGAGTACCATACTTAAAAACTTTTTGGGGGGACCTGTTCCCCAAAGGGACCATTATGAAATAAAAGTCTATACTTTGTTTCTCCCTGGTAACTTCAAAGCCCTTAGAGTTCGGCTCCCACCTCGCGAGTGGGGTTTAGGCTTTTGACAGTGGTTTAAACCCACAGAAGACTTGCTGCCATCGCCACGTTGCATGAACCCAAGCTTCCTAGTTCGCAAAGCCCGGACCAAAACTTGTAGGTGGTTTAGGGTTTTGGGTTAATTTTTGAAGCAAGTCGTTTGTAGGGAGTAACGACCAGAACACTCGAACGCATCATCCATCCGGGCCCAGCGCAAGCCCCAACAGCCCGAAAACCATCAGCCCTACCTAAAAGCCCTAAACTCAAGTACCCTGAAGTCGTGCAAATCAAAGCCCCACACACTGAAGCTCTTAAACACTAATCCCTAAAGCCCCAGTGTATCTGAGGCACCTTCACGCAGTTTGACCTCAACCTGAAAGAAGGCGCTGCCTCTGTTGATGCCGATGAGGCCAAGAAGCACAAGATCCGGATGCCTCCTGACGAAAGGGAGGTTTGCTTCGAGGGTTTTTACAAAGCCCTTCTAAGGTTGCATACCAGGCTCATGCATTCGGTAGGGTTTTACAAGTTTCCATTTTTGTTTCGGGGTCTTTTCGGGGTCTCTGTTGTGGATTTGCAGGCAAGAGGGCCTCGGAACTTTAGGCTAAAGTGTTGGAGCTTAGGATTCGGCTGAAAGGGGGCGGTTGAGGAGATGAGGTTCTGATAATAGTAAGGAACCCCCAGAATAATATAGGAATTATTGAGGCCCCTACATTAGGGGGAAATCTTTGGGTTTGGAGCTTTAGAAGTTTAGGGCTCTGGGAGCAATGGTGAGTTGGGATTTGGTGTCAAGGCTTGGGGGTTTGGCTCAGGGCTTGGGGTCGCATCCTCGCAGCCTGGATCCGACGATTTTTCGGTAGCCTTGGAATTGAAAAAAAGGGGTTTAGGGTTTAGGGTTCAGGGGTTCAGAGGTTTAGGGGTTTAGGGGTTTAGGGCTTAGGACTAAAGTATTCCTCTCTTATGGTGCCTTCAACGAAACCCGGTGGGTTAGTCGAGTTGAAGTGAACCACACCCACAGGACTACGCAAATCCTCAATCCTTAACGGCTTTGGGGGCTCCGGTTGGTAATATAGGGCCCTCAAGAATTACCAACATTATTGTTGGGGGTTCCTTATTAGAATTATACTAAAATGGGCCCCCAAAACCCTATTCTAATCATTATTATATAAGGCCCCTATACATAAAATTTTGTCGTGCACCTGTGGGTTCGGGGCTCTGCGCCTTCGAACCGAAGCCCTTGTCTTTCTTTCCCCCGGAAAACCCCAGGGCCCTAGACTTCTAAAGCTCCAAACCCCAAGAGTTCCCCCCAATGTAGGGGCCTCAATAGTTCCTATATTTTTTGGGGGGTTCCTTACTATAATTATGATCTAATGGGCCCCAAAACCTTATTCCAATTATTAAGGCCCCTATATTAGAGCCCTAAAGTGGTAAAAGGAGCCCAAGCCGTCAAGAGTTTCCCTCAAGGTCAATCATGGAGGAAGATCAGGACAGGCTGGACTTAATACAGCAGTGGCCCTCGACAATCCCCAATATTCATGTTTACAGTATCATCATGCACCAACACTTACAACCCCCAACTATCTGGCGTGCTCCCACATCCAGAGGGTGTAGCGCTCTTGTCTTATCTTGCTTATCAGTGCCAGGTTCAGGGCTTTCATCAGGGTGCGATTTGGTGTGTAGGAGCTGAAAGCACTTGTGATTTGCATGGTTGAGGGGTTAATCTGGGGGCCTGAATTGTTACCCATACTATTGTGGGATTCCTTATTATAATTCTAGTATATATAGTATGCCCCAAGACCCTATTCTAATCAGTAAGGCTTCTACATCAGGGTGCCTGGCTTTTCTGACTGTGGGAGTCGCTATGGCCCCCCCAGCCCGCGCGATCATCCAGCAAAGGCTTAATATAGGGGCTAAGTCAATACCTATACTACTTTGGGGTTCCTCAGCATATTTGTAGTATAATGGGCCCCAGAACCCTGTTTAATTAAAAGGCCCCTAGATTATGCAGCTTGGGATTTTTAGTTTTAGGGTTGAGGGTTCAGTGTTTTTCACGGCAAGAACATTCGAAAGCACGCACCATCCTTACGGTCCCACAGTCTACCCCAAAACCTGAGTCTGACTATTAAGGCCCACACATAAAAAGACAGCTGCGCTCTGTCTCTAAACCCTAAACCCGAAACCCTCAACCCTAAGCTCGTCAGAACGGTGAGGGAGATGAAGCCTTCTACTCTGGGGTGTGAAAGGCGATGCACTGCTTAGTTTCGCAGCGTCTACTTGGGGACTAATTTTGGCTAAGGCGGTGCGGTCAGCGTCTAGTTGGGGATTCGTGGTCGGTATGTTGTCGTGGCAATGGCTGCATATGGTGTGCTGCCCAAGTTGCATTGGGTAGGAATCCGTGCAGGCATGGAATTTGTATGGCAGTATGTAGAAGACGCAAGCACTAATAATCACTAATACCCTTTGGGATGCCACGTGTCCGATGGGTCCGTCGTCAACCCTGAAGTAGATGGGGGAAGTGACGCAGCGAGGATCTTTTCAGCCATTTTGGCGAATGGTAGATGGTCTTCCCAGCAAACATTTTGCAATCTAGGGGGCATCGATGAGGTATCGATAAGGAGTATCGATAAGGCACTACGTTAAAACTCAAAAGTGCCTCTGAAAAATGCGTTCCTGTATCGGATGCCCCGAAACCCTTTTAAGAAGCCGTATCGAAGCCAAACAGCTGTGTCGGGCTTCGAGAACTCTTTAGGAGGTTGCATCAAAGGCACCCACAGTTGCAATTCTTGAAAATGTTTCTGTCATTGACACGAGCTGGTGCACAGCGGGAAAGGATTTAACGTGTATGTCGTCAGAAGTGTCCGGACAGCGTCTACATGGGGATTACCGTTGTTAGCACGCACGCAGACCATGCCTCGGGGACCAGTGCATGCACGGCGTCCCATGGGTATTGGCAGGTTCTCGCCTTGAAATCCACTTGAAAACTATATGTTCGGACCCACGCGTCCCCAACTAAAACTATAGTTTGCACTGCCTTGCACTGCCTGTATGCATGCGGGCGTCTACTTGGTGATTCGCATAACCAGCATCCAATGCACTGCCTTTCGCGGGCCGGTGTAGTATACGAGGACTGTACGTAGTGACGACGCCCAACTGATGAGCTCTCGGCAGTTAGGCCCGGCAATACAGATAGACCCCAAACCCTTCACCATTGAGTGGCACGTTCAAGCTTCGGGTTGCCCGGTTTTTGGGTAATCCTTTTCTATTCTTCTATACACATACACACACATACATATAGACATGCATATGTGTGTATATATGTACATACATAATACATAATATTACAATATATGTATATATACATATATATATATATATATGTGTCTGTTTACTGTTATGGGGACTTCCAGAGAATCCTATGCGACTTCGCCTCCGCTTCGAGAGTCTCCGCAGTGTGGACTCAGCCCCCAGGGCAGCTCCCAAGAACCGCGAAACCCTGTTCAACCTGAGACCTTCCAGTCCCTGGACACAAAATTTTGGAATCCCAAACCTCAAACCCCATTGCTGAAACTATGAGCCTTAAGCCCGAAACCTTAAGCCCTGCAAACCACAAACCTGAAACCTTAAACCCTACACCTGAAGCCTTACACGCGAAACTTTAAACCTGAGCTAGACATATAGACGATTATCGAACCAGTTTCGGCTGTTTAAACAGAGGAGAACATGCCTTGGCTGCGCGGCATCGTCGACCACCCGGGCTTCGACCTCTTCTTCGTAACCCGGCCCTTCCCTGGTTCAAATGGGTTTAGGGTTTGGGGGTTACTTGGTTTAGGATTTCACGTTTCGTTCTCTCAAAAATTGACTGTGAAAGGCTCTATGAGGAGGTTCCGCTTTGTGAGTCTGTCGAGACCAATCAGAGCCTTAGCAGAATCCATAGAATCCGTACAAGAACCTGATATGGTAGAATTGCCAGAGCCCCCCTATTTACACCCAATCAATAGCATCTCCAGCTGCAGGCAACCGTGGTGATCACGAACTCCATCTTCATCGGGGTGGAAGTGCAGGAAAGCTACAATCGCCTCTGCAGTTCTGTGGTTCTAGGCCTCTGGCAAGCCTTTCAGGGCTTTAGTGTTTGGGATTTTGGGATTTCAGGGGCTTAGGGCTGTAGAGCAATACGGTTTTTGGGCTTGTTACGGGGGTTCAGGGTTTGGGGTGTTGGGGGTTGATGGCTATGGCTCACGAAGCAGATCAGCTCACGAGCTGCGAGTGCACGACATTTGATCCGGCCAAGCCAAGGCCTGGATTGGGCTCACTATAAGGGGAATCAGGGCACTGCGTGCTCCGAGACATGCTGGGTGACGGCATGGACCGAGGAAAGTCGCGGAGCGAGGGCCATGAAGGCACATTTGGAAGCGAAGTTGTTTGCCGAAGAGCCGCGTATATGAGACGGCAATAATATAGAAAGTGTTACGAGTAAGCAAACCCACAAGGGGGGGGTTCGAAGCTAAATCTGGCATCCCCGACTGAGTCTATGCAGGAGAACCTCAGCAATGACGGCTCCAACTCTGTCGCGGTCCAGGCCGGTCGTTGTTTGCCATTTTGTTGGAAGCTCCCTTTACAGGGTTCTATACAAGTTGAAAGACGGGGTCGTAAGGAAGACGCCAAACCGACAACCGGTGAACTATGCATGGGCGAAGGCCACCCAAAGCACCGAGCCCCAAAAGCCCTACCACTCTCTATCAGCCGTGAATCGAACGAACACTCAGCCTTTGACTCCCCAAGTTTCGGGAGAACAGAAACACACCCAATCCCCAAGCATCCCGGCCCTGGAACATGCAAACCCTTCAAGGTGATCAGAAATGTTTACACCTTCCTCTTTACCGTGGAGCTCATCCTGCGTGTGGGTGCCTACAGGTCGGAATCCGCGAAACTTCCGAATTTCATCTTAGGGTCTTATGTAGGGTTCACGGAATTTCGGTTTTGGGTGGTGCTGAACTTAAGCCGCCCTGAACTTCCTTACTAAGTCCAAAAAGCTTCTAAATACCGGCCTAGACCCTCGCGGGTCCGACACTCTTCAGCCCTAAAAAGCCTCGCAACAGCTTACTAAGCCCTTGACCCTCAAGCCTACACCCCTAGACCATGACATTTCAGAGGCGGGACTTCTTCTGTGCCAGCGAATGGAAGTGGACCCTTGGCCAGTGAAGGCAAATGGAAATTCACAAGACTACAAGTTAGAGTTAAAGATGCCGAGCTGGCGTCAGAACCAAGAATAAGATTTTGCTTGCCGTTCGTTTGGCTGTACCTTTATACGCACCTTGTGTGTGATCGTGTTCGTGCCGTCTTCATCAGTACAAGTTCGCCTTAAACATTACGCGCTTCATGAAACTCCACATCTACGTTGCATTTTTCCACACGTCCACAGGGTAGCCTCTTTCTTTGTTCTGTGGCCTTCATACGAAGTCGTCGGGTGGACTTCTGAAGGCTTAGGCCATCGCTTTTTCCTGAATTGTAGCAGTGGGTACCACTACGGAGAACGACAAACAGAGGCAGTCATGAGCAGTAAGAAACTCCAACCTCATAGTTTCGATACTTGGGGAGATCGAGTTTAGGGTTGAGGGCTTCGTAGTCCGAAATCCTAGATTTTAAATGGGGGCAACCCGGTGCACATCTCTGGAATGCCCCTGCAATGCCTCCTTCCCGCGGCTTCTAGAGTCCCAGCCCCCGTCCCGAGGACGCGAGCCATGAACGTTATACAACCGAGGCCCCGCAACTTAAGCCCTAAAGCATGAAGCCTAACCCCAAGCTGCCTTACACCGTAAACCCTATAGGCTCAAAGCCCATAAAGCCTAAACCCTAAACCCTAAACCCTCAACCCTCAAACCCGAAGCCTTAAACCGTAAAGCAAAGCCTAAGGCCCTAAGCCCATAAGCCGTAGACAACTTGGAACCCCTCAAAACGGAAGCCTGAGTGCCTGAGTTGAAGAGCTCAGGAATTGGCTTGATGTTTTCATTGTGCACCTTGTCTGGACCGGGTTCAGGGTTTAGGTTTAGGGTTTAGGGTTTAGGGTTAAGGGTTAAGGGTTTAGGGCCTCAGGCCTCAGATTAAGGGTTTAGGGCCCAGGGTGTGGAAGTTTCAGAGCCTTAGGCCTTAGGCGTTAAAGCCTTCCGCTCCCGGCTGATCTTAGTCTCACTATAAATCCCATATTCATCACTAGCGTTCATAATTTGAACCCATGGTAGTTTAAGGTAGGACCACAACCTTTGATGCCAACGCCCGGAGCCCTAAAGGCTCGTGGTTGCAACGACAAGAACAGGCCGCAGGTCCTGGATTTTTATGTCAGGTCTCAGGGGTTAGGGTTGAGTTTAGGGTTTAGGCAGGGTTTAAGGGGAAATCCCGAACCCGAACTTCCCGAAAGTTCTCCTGCCCTTCTAGAGACCCCAAAGAATCCCTGACACCACAAAACCACCGCAGCCAACAGTCCCAAACCCCAAACTCCAAGGCCCCCAAGACCCCACTTCCCTCGACCCTACACCCTGAACACTAAACCCC